ATTTTTTCCCGATTTACTAGATGCCTTACATGAAACAAGTTTGATCAGTTCAGTCCCATTTCCCAGGTGACAAACAGCCTGTGGCAAAAATTCCTCGTTTAGTGGGTGCTGAGTTTTGTCAGCAGTCTCGTGGGAGAGGCCAAAGACTGTGGGAATGGGGAGAGAGGGCTGTATTAAATTGTCAGGGCAGGGCATGAGGAGGAAGCACGTCTGAACGCCCGGCTCGTGTAACAGTCTTTCCATTGACCGAGACTCTGGTTGCTAGGCTGCCGGACCCCTTTTACAAGCAGCAGAGTCATGCTATTGTTTCCTAAATGGTTTCAGTTTTATGCAGGAACCTCTTTACATCCTTTCTATATATTTTAAACATTTTACTAGGCACGTAGTAAAACGAAGTTTGGAGCACAGCCCCTTGCTCTGCTCAAGTTGGTGAACAAAAGAAAGTGCTTCTACTTTATTCTGGCAAAAAGGGAGTGTTTCAGGGTAGCCCTGCAAAGAGCGGGCTCATGTCAGCCTTCCATCTGGGCAATTAGCATGCACTCATGAGGGGAGGGGAGCATTGTTTTGGATTTCGCAGGTAGTAACGCAGACCCCATACCTTAGGGAAGTGCACTCATCAGTGGGTTGTAGAGAGGAGGAAAAGGAGAGCAGGCAAAGCTTTGTGGGACAGCAGTGCTCCCCATTTCAGCCCCTCCATGGAGGTGCTGAAGAAGTGAGGTCATCAGCCTTTAGATTTTGGCATCCCCAGTATGCAAAAAACAAGGCTTAGACACAGTTCAACTTTGCAGCTCCTCTATCAGCAGGAACAGCTGAAGGAGTTAACTGAGTACAATGTCCAGTTCTGGTCCCCACAGTTCAAAAAAGATGCAGACAAGCTGGAGAGAAAGTGCAAAGGGAGGCCACAACAATGATCAAAGGACTGGATAATCTGCTTTATGAGGACAGACTGAAGGAATTATGTCTATTCTCCCTGGAGAAGAGAAGGCTTGGGGTGAACTCATCATAGTATTCCAGTACTTAAAGGGCAGCTGCAAAGAAGATGGAGGCTATCTCTTCACAGGGAGCCTCATGGAAAGCACAAGGTGCAACAGGAACAAGTTGGTTGGGAGAGGTTTCATCTCGACATAACAAATAATTTTTTACAGTGAAAACAATTCATCACTGGAACAACATCCCATGGATGACTCCCCATGACTGGAAGTTTTCAAAATGCAATTGGACATAGCGGTAGATGATCTCATCTAGACTTCCTTTCCCCTGGAAGGTTGGACCAGATGATCTTTGAGATCTCTTCCAACATGGGCTGTTCTGTGGTTCTGTGGGTTTGATGAACAGGCAGTCTCTAAGCAGGCTTTGCTCCTCAGGAAAATGAGTGTGGAAAAATACCTCTCAATATAACCGGTCTTCTGTGTTTCTTGCCTTGAGAGTATTGCAAGTAGATAAAAGTGATCTCTTCTTTAATCTGTCTTCATTGATCCTACAGCTTAGAGAATCAGGTATGTGAGGGTACTTTATTAATGGAAAAGTCTCTATTTTCAAGAACTCACAATATGAACAGAACAAATAGAAATTTAGCTTGGACTTTTCTGTGGGACAACTGAAGTAATGAAAAACCAATAAAAGTAAATTTTTTAAATTCCATATTTTGACTTTAAAGAGCTTTTCTGACTAATTGCAGTCTTCTGGACTTTTACAAGTAAGTTTCATTGTGTTACAAGCTGTTGCAACATGTGGTCTTCTGAAGCCTGCATGCTCTTTCTCATCACAGCACCAACAAAACAAAACAAAAAAAGGACTTGAGAGATTTTCCCTGTGCCAAACACCATGTTCCTTCTATCAAAACAGCTAACAACTTTCCTCTGGGATTTTTATACAAATTTGCTTCCAATTTGAAATATCTTCCTTTCAAAGGAAGCTTGTCTCCCAGCTTATGATTTATGCAAAACAGCATTGTGCTTTGAGACAAGGGAGGCACCAACAGCAAATGTCCATCAGTAGAAATAGCTTGCCAGCAAGGTTCCCTCTTCTTAGCTAGGACCCCCCACTTTGAGCCTCTCATGCCTCTTTCCAGGTATGTGTGTTGAAGTAGTCCAAGTGTTCCTCTGCAGGATTATTCTCACTTGTTTTCTGAAAATAGTCTGTTTCCTGCAGTTTGCTATACATTGAAAGCAAATATCTCTATCTGAGCTCTCTTCTAGTAGTTTCAGTGGAAAATTATTCATTGGAGGAAACGAAATCAACACGCAGGCTGTTTCAGCTCCTTCCCTCTACATTATCCTGAGGAGTTTCGGAGAGATTACCTAGAGTTCACAAACACCAAGGCTGATGGAAGGTCAGGGTGTTGCCTGGGTCTCTCACCTAAGTCAGCTGCACTTCAGAATCTCCCTGGGATGGGGCTTGTTTCTGATCAAATAAAAGTAAATTTGTCTCCAGTTTATTATTAGCATGGGATCCTCTTCTTGGTCCAATGCTTCCTAGCAACCTGAGTGCGTGTTTGTCAGTTTGCTTTTCGTAAGTCTGCAGAAAGAGTGTACTTGTTGAATTAACTGACACTCTTGAAAAGATAACGATAGGAGAAATGGCCAAGGCCACGAAGGGCAGAAGGCACTTTGCTATGTTAATGTGATCCAAATCTGGAGTGCCAGGAGAGTGTGGGGTAACCAAGAAGGGGTACGCGAGAAGGGAACTGACTGTGCCCTTGGGGATGGTGCCACCCAGCTTGTCTCTGGACTGGGTACCCTCCCCTTGGGCTGCAGCAAGGGGTGTTCAGTGCTGACAGTCCTAACCCCTGTCCCCTTGGAGCTAAATGTGTCTGTCACTGCTTCCCTTTAAAAATGAAGCAATGAAAAGGATTTTCCTTCAAAGCTCTGAACTGAGCCCACGCACCTTTCTTCCTTCTTGGGGTGTCAGTTCTTTCCTTCAGCATCACTCACTCTCTTGGCTTGGCTCCCTTTGGTTCTTGAGGGACCCAAACCTGCAGCTTCCAGGAGCCTTTCTTAGCTAGCAAGTTATAAGCTGTTTCACAGACTCTTATTCCCTCTGCTGAAGTTGCTCCATTTTAATTGTGAGCAATGACAGACTAATGAGGCCTGAAGGACAGACCACATGGCAGTGCAAAACTGAGTAAGGGCCGGGGCACAACTGGGCAGAGCAGCTGCCTCTGCCAGCTATTTCTGTATCAAATAACCATTGCTGGGGCTGGAGACCAGCTCTTTGCTCTCCCTATTCACAGTGCTAAATCATCAAGCCCGAGCTGTCTCTTTATGCTCTGCCCAGCCCTGTCAGTGCTTAATTAAGCCCAACAGCTTCAATGGGAGAGAGCGAGCACATCCCCCTCCTCTCCCCTCCCAAAAAGCCTAGGGTCTGAGGTGTGCCTATCCCTGAGGAATGGGGTGTGTGGGGCCTGAAGTTTTGTGTGCTCAGAATCAAAACAAAATGGGGTTTCAATATTGGCTGTGGCCCTTGTGCATAGGGCGGAAGAGGGCTGCTCCCTCACCCTGCTGTTTTTGGTGCTCCCTTCGCACAGTGCTCTTCCTGAGGTTACAAAATCTTATATTTTGTTATATACACAAGCCCTGTGTAATTGGGCTACTTCTTTACTGAGTGGTATAATCTTTACCTCAAGTTCATTTTTTGTTTTATTTTCACGTTAGACTAATTTATTTTAAAGAAAAAAAAATAATTAAAGAGTCTTTACCATTTCCTGAAATTATTTTCTCATTTCCAAAGCAGGTGGCTATGTAGAGCTGTGATGCCTCTGTGGTAATGGGTAAAGATTTAAGATTTGCTACAGGGATAATATTGAGTGCTATCATGAACACTGTGAAAAAGCGTAAAGTGTTGGTCAGTTCATAAATCTTAAACAGTCATTGCTTACACAGGGGAAGGATTTGTAAAGGATTTTTTCTTAAAATGTCTGAACCTTTCCTTAGTCCTTAATTTACTTCCCAAGTTCATACATATTGACAAAAAGGCAGGCGAACGAAAAATTGGTGCCCATACTGTTCTGCTCACCCACCCATTTGAGCTTGTGGGAAAGATGCTCCCCAGGGAAATCCAGGAGCTCTCTTATGCCCACCAAATGCTTGTAGGTTTTACAGCCCTTCCCTGGACCATGGCCTTATAAACACACCTTGAAAGACAAGCAGGTGCCCTGCCCCCATTTTACAGATGGCTTAACAGATGTTGGAAAGTATCATTAGAAACAGAGCTCTGGATTGGGTGTATGCCCACAGCATAGCCCTAAAAAGCCAGGTGGCCTTGCAGAACAGTCTCCTCATGCCCAGATGTCTGCTCCTGCTGCCTGAAACTGGGGACACCCACCTGGGCCAAGGAGCAGGGAGCAGGAACTGGGACCTGCACTCCCCTTTGCCACAGGTACATCCTGGCTCCCAGCCCTGGCTCCAGGGCCAGCAGCCCTCCTCCACTGCCAGCAGGGTTTGCTCAGCCTTTCCATGTCTGATGCCAGTTCTGCTGGTTAGCCAGGGTCTGAAAAATTTCTAGGGTTTTGTTTAAAGAAATGAAAGCTAGAAAAATTTATTTCAAAGGTTACTTGGAAAGAGTATTTAGTCACAGATTCGGGTATGAGTATCTCGGAAGTATTTGATTTAAAGCTGTCCCAGAAATATTAATTCAGCTCACTTGTGCTGCTTCTTCTACTGATTTCCTTATCCCGGTCAGGGAACAGCATGGACAACAAATAAGATGAAATAATGATGTTCCCTGGCTATAGATGCAACCCAGATAAAAATTCATACCGTCAAAATGTAATGGCAGGCAGGAATAGACTATTTAATGCCTTTAAGGACAACATTTGTATTGCACAGATCATGTTTACTCTGATAATTCCCAAAGTTTTTATACTTGCATTGGCAACCCGGTATTTTTCTAATTTATTTTATTTTTGTGTAGGCAGCCTGTACATATGAAATGTCCCTATTTTCCCTGTTTTCCCTGTTGGTTAATAGGTTGGCTTATGGTAGTGATTTTCAATATTACAGGCAAGAGAGGATGTGATCCACATGCTGAAGACGGAGAAAACCAAACCTGAAGTTTTAGAAGCTCATTATGGGTCTGCAGCTCCAGAGAATGTGCTCCGAGTGCTACACAGGGATGCCATCCTTGCCCAAGAAAAGTCTATAGGGGAAGACGTTTATGAAAAACCAATTTCAGAGGTAATTGATTTACAACATTATGTCTGGGCAGGGGGAATCGTAACCAGAGGTGAGACTCCACGTATTTTGAACATGTGCAAAGCACTCAAGAGGATAACACAGAATGTGTACATTGACAAGAAATCAAAGAAAGTCTTGTTCACTCAAATGCAGAATAATTTGTAAGTGAAGTCACTGGATTTGAACACAAACCATAAAGAGGTTGTATGATTCTTAGGGCTGGTGCTGTTAAGCAAGACCAAAATCTTCAGGAGTTACCTTCTGGTTTTTAAATTCTTTTCAATTATAGGCTTCAACCTCTATTGGTCACAGCACTGGTAAGCGCTCTTTGATTTTCTTGGCATGCGAGACCACTATCATGTGGGTAGTTAAGAAAAGAAGACCTTTGGAGATTGACAATATTTATGGGATCATAAATCCATATTCACTTTACATCACTTAAGCTCTAGAACTCCAAAGTCAGTTCAGCCCCTAAAAGAGACCTATAGGACTTGACCCCTTGCTTTAAAATATAAGCAATAAATGAATGTAGAATAGACCTGGGAACGTCTAAGGCAGTGTGAATGCCAAAATAAACAGCCACTGCTCATGTTTATAGTTTCATAATAGTCCAGGGCATGGAGAAAGAGCATGCAACAACATACTGTAGTGGCTGCCCAAATCTTCACAGTGCCTCCTATTAGAACATTTGACTTGTTCACTAGGAATTGTGTCTACCATGGGATATCTTTCACTGTTTATTCTCACTGAAGCATCTCCTAAAATTTTGGGGATGACAGTAAATAGGGAAAGCAAACCAACCTTAGCATGTGGGAGCATGCAAACAAAACTTTAGCAAGGCCTTTTTCTAATGAAGCTGATAATTTTACAGGGACCTCAGTGAAAAAAGTAAAACTTTGTCATGTGTAGGTTCACAAGGGTCATGTTGAAACTAAAATAGAATGGTGACAAAATTAAGTGCAAAAGATCTACTCTCAAAAGATCAACCAAACCTGTCTCCTTTATAAAATGCAATGAGTGTTTGACTGCTACAGTCAGTTTCTGGAGACCAAATTGCCAGAGTCCTCCTGTTCTCCTAAGTCACTTAGTTTGCTGAGGCATCCTATGAAACAACAACTGCCTGGTACAGCTGGGGCCAAGGAAGATGGTAAGGGCTGGGGGTGAGCAGAGCAGGCTCAGCCAGACACTGTGGCATGGAAAGGGAAGCAGAAAGGGCTGTGGGTTGCTTTGGCAGGGAGGAGGATGGAGTCTTTTATCTGCACCCAAGAACCAGCAAAAGGAGCAACACGAATAGCCATGGTGTCTTTGGAGTGCCCTGGCATCTTTTTAGACAGACCTTCCTGGCCTTCGTGTTTGTTTGGATAATAACTGGCATATTAAATTAATTAAAAAAATTAGAGAAGGCAAAAAAGGTAAAGTGTTGCAAATAAAGAAGGATAATTTCTGTCAAAAAACAGGCTGAGGGGAAACCCCTAAGGCTTTGAATGAATTGTATTTGGTAATGTAAAACTGAATATGTACTGAATCTAAATAGATTATCTCAGCAGTTTTACAGGTGTGTTGAAGGTGCATAACTCTAATTTCAGCCTTGAGATTACACTATATGCTCTACATGTAGGTGTCTAGTCCCCGTATAGGTGCGTGAACTCAGGCTCTCAGGGTCTGAGGTCTGAGCTACAGCTTTTCCTGTGTGAAATGAAAAAAGTGTGCACAGCACCTCACCACAGGGGACATTCTACATGCAACAAATTTGTTGCCCTAAAACTGAGTGCAGTTCTGCCCTTTGTGTATGTGACAACTGTGCAAACGTTTATTGCTAATATGTCATCCAGATAAATCATTACTTTCACAGGACAGTCATTCTTATTTCTAGTCACTGCTTTATGTAAAGCCTAGGATGTAAAAACTATGGGACTCACATTTACCAAACAGAACACTATTGGTTAATAAATCAGATGAAGTAACCAAGGAGACCTTTAAAACAGTCTGTTCTCCTCTCCTACAATCCAGCTAGACAGACTTGAAGAAAAGCAGAAGGAGACGTATCGGCGCATGCTGGAACAGCTCCTGTTGGCAGAAAAGTGCCATCGTCGGACAGTTTATGAGCTAGAAAATGAGAAACATAAACATACAGATTACATGAACAAGAGCGATGACTTTACCAACCTCTTGGAACAGGAGCGGGAGAGGTGAGTACCTGTGACAGTGCAAAGACTATACCCAGTGTCTCCAGTGTTTGTCAGTTCAGCAGTGATTTGGTCTGGTATTTTCTGTGTTCAAATGACACTAAACTCAGGTGTAAACCATTTGTAAATGTCAGTCCACTCGTGTTATTAGTAAGTGCATTACTGTGCAAATCTAGAGCTGGAGGAATACCATTGAATGTTCCTGTAGTGTGCACTTGAATTAAGAAATGGATTTGTTTTGAATTAGTCATGCCCATTTTGGGTTCACCTCCAGGTAGCTTTTGATCAGATGTTATTTATGTTGGCTAAGTTTGGGATTGGCTTGCTTAGCTAAGTGCTGTATTTCATGAAGGTCAGAGCACTGTTGTCGCAGGAGGAGGACAGGGTAAGGAAAACCACGACACATATTAGGATACTAGCACACAAGTGGTGGGACTTTGCCACGCCCTTCACATTCAGGCTTGAAAAGTCACAAACCATTTGTATTCTCTTTAATATCTCTGAAGTCACATGCCTCAGGCAAGTTCTCTGTTCCCCTGGAAGAAAATATTTTCATGTTTTAAAAAATGTGCCTAGCCTGTGGTATCTGCAGTGTTTATCTCATGGTCTATACACTCCAGATTGTTTTTTCCAAGTGTTTATCCTGCTTGAGGGAAGAGTCTCTGTGTCTCCAAGAAAAGAAAGATCGCCGACCTTAGGTGAAGACTGAGCACTCAGTTTTTCAACCTGAAATTTTCATGCTCACACCAAATTGCTTGAAATCAATATACAATGTTGTGTTTCTTTTTTACAAAAAAAAAAAAAAAAAAAAAGAGCTCAGAGAAAAATACTTAAGGCAAGTTCAAAGAAGAAATGCTGTTGAGGAAACCACAGGCTTGTGGCAGTCATTTGCAAAAAGCCAGGAGTGAAATTGTTTGGTGTATTTCCTGAGCTCAGTTCAGCGCCAGCTTTGGGTAGGTGGCACATGAGCTACAGTGACCATATTTCCTGGTTTAATAGCTGTTATTTTTCTGTCTCTATTTTCCTGGGTTGATTGGCAAACTTTAAAGGAAAAAAATGCTTCTGTATCCTAGCAATTTGTTCTCATAGTTGAAAATAAAAAATGTGTTGTATTTCCAAGTAAAGAGCAACTTCACATCTGATTCTCATAGCTGCCATTTTCTCTCTATGCTGAATATCCATGTATGTGTGGACATACAGCCACTAAAATGCTACAAAAGTAAAAGTGGTATTAAAATAACATTTACATTTGTCTCTACATTTTATATTCATATTATTTTGACAATTGTTGCCTTCTTATTATTCCCTCTCAATTTGTGAAGGCCACTAAATGGTCTAAGACTATGACCTGGTTTGAACTGACTTCCTTCAATGAAGTGATTAAAAAGATTTTTGTCTTACATTACTACTGCTATCAAGATATCAAGTCTCATCTCTGTGGGCATTTTCTCTTACCCTTTCTGCTCTTTCGAACTTCAGGTTTTCTACATTTCATCATTTTTGAAGAAACAGCAATAAAAAAAAAAGGAGAATTTGAGTTTTAATTTCTCCTGAAAGCAGATCTTAAGTGCAACTAAGCCCACTGGCTTTAGTCACCAGTGCCTCTGCACTGATGGCTGCAGGGGAATAATTGCAGTGATGAAGCCCTGTTGATCTATGTTGAGTAACACCAGAAGCCTGATGTTTGCTATTTAATCCACTTTGTTTGTCTATGGTACTAGTGTGTACAAGTTGGTAGCCACCAAGTAGAGAGGATATGGCATTTAGCTAAAAATAGAAAATCAAGATGCACCTTCCTATCTCTTCTGGGAGTCCTCCTTCCAGATCACTCACAGAGCAGATTAGCAAAATCAGGATGGGCTGTAAACCACTTATTAGCATACTGTCTTAAACGATCTCAGCTCCTCACCTTTGCTTGCTGAGTACACATGAAACTCAGGCTGCCCCCACATCTTTGTAGGTACTAAAAACTAGAAGTAGTATTGTTTGAGGGCTATATTCACAAAGAAAGAAAGAGTGATGGGATGACTTCAAACTGACCGTAGATTTTGACAAAAAGAAAGAGTTTGCAGTGTAAAAATTAGGTTGCAGTAGGATAAAACATGCAAAAAAATCCTACTCACCTGATCTGCATATTGGGACAGAGAACTGACCTGTCCTAAGGCAATTTTCAAGGTCCTGCACAGCATCTTGTTTTATAAGTACCACTCTGTGTATAATTCATTTTACCGTGGTGCTTTGAGGGTTATTTTATTAAGAACTGAACAGACTTGTAGTCTCCATGAAAACGAAAAGGGACACAGAGGTGAACTTTGCCCGTCAGCCACTCTGCTGCACTCACAGTTATAATGTTAATGAGACAGGGTGAGCCAGAGGAAGAACAGTGCTGTGGGATGGCCATCTCACAGCAGTCTGCTACAATGAGAGCAGCAATAATTCCTGTCCTGAATTTAAGTAATTTCAGTGTTTTCTTTCCTCACAGTATTTTACCAACCTTTCCTAACCATTGCCCACATCAGCTTTTGTAGGCCACATCTGCTTTTGCTGTCTTGTGAAAGTTAGAACAAAGGAAAAAGGGGAATTCTCTAAGAGAGGAAATATGCCTGAGTTCTAATGTATGTCTAGCACTCTCTTAATGTATTTACTTTGGAATATTTTTTTACATACACTTTCATACATTATCTCTAATCCACCTACAACAACATGATATGAAAGCAAGCCATTCCTATGAGGGACTAATTGCTAGGTCAGCCTCACACAGGAAGGAAGTAACAGGAAAATGTGATTTGTCAAAAATAATTGTGCACGAGAAGTATAAGAAAGTGAACACTGTACACTGGGATATTCAAAATGTAGACAGCTGGGAGGGTAAAGGGAAAAAGCTGGAAGGCCTGGCTGTTGGTATTGGCTCTGCAAGACCAAGTGGAACTGACCTGAAGAAAGATTGTGGGAAAAGTTGGTATGTTACAGGAAAAGAGTAGTGACAACCATTTGCCAGATGGATATGAAAGAAATCTGGTAGTTTTAGTGGAAGTTGCTTCTGCAGACATGGTGGCCAAAGTGTTTTGCTAATTTCCCTAGTGTATGCTATAACAATATCTAATGATGTTTGAAAGTTACAGACAGTATTCTCTATTTTTCTGTGCGACCAAATTTCCCTTTTCAATGCTTGCCCTCAGCTGCTGTTCCTGTAACATCAAGTTGTCCTTGATCATCTCCTATCCCCAGGAATGCAAAAGCAGACATCTTTCTGGAGCCTCCTGAGGAGGCTGAGAAATACAGAGAAGAGCTGGAGGCCCCTGGGCCCTCTCAGAGACCCTGGGTGGCAGATGGTGGGGTAAGGAGTCTCTGCTCTGACAGATGGAGAGTGAAGGGTCTGGTCAGAACTGCCACTGACAATGTGGCTTGCAGTGGACACATGGAGAGCAGGAGACCAGGCAGCAACAGCAGTCTCAGGGATAAAACTAGTCTTCCTAGTGCAGAGAGCTGATGGCCTGAGTTTGGGCTGAGCTGGCTGCAGCTAAACCACCTATTGGTACTTCCCCACTCCAAAAATTCATGAGTAAAGCAGGCTTAACATGAAATGGTACTTGATTGTTCTTTGTTCTGCCTAGTCCCAGCCCTCTTGCCTTCCCCTTTAAGTAACTGGTATGGGTGGGGGGAATCTTAAGGATCAATTATAAACTTTTTTATTTGATCAGCAGGGCTTTTTGTTCTGGTGGAAAAGGGTAGAGCTCTGTGTAACCTTAGCACTCTGACTTCTTGATTGACCTAGGAGACGAGGTTTAAAATGTTGACATTTTTAGAGGTGCTAATCTCTGAGGAATTTGTCTTGTACCCTTCTTTTAATCCCGTTTGTTGACAGCACATTTTGCTGCTATTAAAAGCACTGGAAAGCTCCCATTGATTTTAACGGTTCAGAAACAGGCTTGCTGTGAGGACCACTGCCACCCAGGACTGACTACAGAAATAGCCTGAAAGACTTTAAAAATGGAGGGAGAGGGGAGTAGGGACTGTTTTTTTATTAGCATGGGAAGTGGGTTGCCGAATAGAGGGTGTGATGTGGCAGAAAGCCTTTGTTGGAGCCCTGTCATGGGGGATCTGTGTGACTGCTTGGTGAGTTGTTCGATCATTTCCACTGTGACCCGTGAGACTGCTGAGACTCTGTCACCCCACCACAGAAGGTGTTAGTAAATATACACCTAGTGTCTAAGTGTTGTTTGTCCTAAAGCATTGATATTATGCTTAGCCAAGTTTCACTGTAAGATTTAATTGAAGTGATGAGGATTTTAAATTGGTTCTTGCTTTCCATGCTGCTTCAAATTATTCTTTACAACCACAGAGACAGTGTTCCCAGTGCACTGAAGCATTTCATGTTTTCCTCAAAGGCAAGGCCGAGGATTCAGTCTGTACTTCCTAAGCATTGCCCTGCTAAATCTGGTTTTAGTTAAACCCTCCTTTTGAAGAACATGGCCATAATTAGATCTGCTTAGAGGAGACAGCAAGACTGTGACCCCAGATCTTTCCTCCACAAAGTTTCCTTTCAGTCTTCACGTAAAATTGTCTCCTCTTTGCCTCCCCCATCACAGCACCCCCAGCAAGGAATGCACTGGCAAGTCCCTCGGAGGGCTGGGATAATACATTCCTCTTGGCTTTGGTCATCCTGGCACAAAGATGCTCTTGGCTGCTCTGCTAGTGATGTAATTCTGGGCCACATCACCTGCAAAGGAAACTGATCTGCGAGAAATAAAGCATACAACCGTCTTGAAACAAAGATGAGAGTGTTGATGTTAACAAGTTTTTTAAATGGTTTTTTTCCTTTCATGCCTTTCCGCTTTTATTAACAAATTTCCCCTTCTTCCTTTTCCCACAAGACGGCAGCACCAAGTCTTTCATTGGGAAGTGCTTGCCTTTTTGTTTCCCTCTATTTCATGGACCTAAGCAACTGCAAAGGCTGGAGTGTAATACTACTTGGAGATGTTATGTGTGTTATCTTTCCAGTT